TGTGAAATGTCAGAAATTTTGTCTTGAGATATGATTTGAAACAAAAAAAACATAAAAATACTTCCCTTGATCTCAGAATTTCAGTTATTATGCAACATATTTCTTTTCATTTTACTATTTAAATCATCCACTACTTTTGGCTGATCATGGAAAATACAGCAGAAACTGACAATAATGGATTGATGACCTGAGACATCATTTTTTAAAATGGAATTGCTATTACCTTTTTCAGGGTGGATATTGTGATTTTTGCCAACAATATTCTTGGCCAAGATCAATTTATATCTAATAAATACAGTTTGTTCTTTGTACATAAACTATATTATTGAAGTATATTGTTTGGACATGATAAACTTAACAATATTATTCAATAAAAAGGGATTCGAGTCATTTGAATAGTTTGCAATTACTTATCATACGCACTGAACCTAATTTAACTAGCAACCTGACGTATTCTTATAAAAGAAAATTCTTGTAGATTTTAACCCTCTTGCTATGGGTAGGTCAAAGTGTGCATGTCATGACTTTTTAGAGTTACATTCAAAGTTTAATTAAACTATTTTATTATCAATGTATATGAATAAACTTGTCATCAAAACACAGTTACTAAATCAAGTTTTAATGTTATATAAGTTTTACGTTGTTAATATTATTAGGAAATATTTTTAAAAATCCTCAATTCCCCTAGTACGAGAATTGTGACATTTGTTTTCTAGGTCTTCAAATTTATTTTCCACCCCTCGGAAAAATAATGAATTTAACATAATTATAAAATAGACATTAATAAGACAGTCTAACTTTTATAGCCTTCAATCTTATTTCTTCATAGAGTTATAGCTTAGAAAATCAGACCAACTTGCCATGCCCACCTGTCACATCCTCTCTTTCCCAAATTGCAAATAGTTCTGTCTGATGTTTTATACTAAATTATTTATAACCAATAGAAAGGCAAAGTTTTAATCTTTGAATAGAGTTGTTTAAACATTTGTTTAACAACAAGTGGTCAAATGGTCTATTCTCGCATTGGGGGTGTGTCTGTGAGCCAGACTAGTTTTGGAGAATTCCACTCCTCATCAGTGACCCTGTACACTACCACCAATATCAGACCAAACCAAGCCTCTATAGTAGTGAGGTATCGAAGATCGAAATGGTGTATTTAAGTGTTTTACCATTATCATTCTATAAGTATTTGAAGAACTTGTATGGGAGCAGAGGTAATATACTGTATCTGAATATAACTTTTGATAATGTAAGCATATCTTCACAAAATGTCACAGACTATCAGTAAACATTACATGGCTTTCATACACAAAAATGGTTTTTAGTTAAGTATTTTAATTTAAGATTAACTTATGAATTTTTGCATTTGGAATGTTGAATATCCAACCTGCACAGTGATTTTGATTTTAAGATTAAAAATACTTTTCTTCACTTGATAATTGTCAAATTTCCTTTGCATAATCTCTAAAACCTCCTAAATAAATATCAAACTATATTTTCAGAAAAACTTTATATTTTATCTACCCTAACTCTAAAAGGGGCCCAGTCGATGTGACCAACCTCATAACCACCATAAAAAAATAGAAAATCAAACTAAATTTCCCTTTTTTCTTTCTAGAATGACTACAAATTGTAACAGGAAACCACAATTGCATATTCTAAATTGCTATAAAGCTCATAATATTATACATCTATTTATATTTATTAATTATTTTGTTGTATTGACTTTTGAATCATGTCCAACTAATAATCCTGTTCCACAAGTTATAAATCACGTGGCACACGTACCTCACATTACCATATAAAATAGCATAAAACTGGCATACAAAGTATGAATCTCTTACTTTTCTCAGTTTTAGTACTAACATATCAGTAGTTTTTTTAAATATAGTGACGTTTTGATTACCATATATTACATATGTATATATATATTATTACTATTTATAAATAAATTCTTCAATTTAAATTATTTTTCTTAAAACATAGAACAC